TAAAACAAGGTCTTTGTCTGCAATGATTAGACATGTTTTTTATTATTGTCATTAGTGATTATCTCAATTTCGCCTAAAAGAATTGACAAAATCCTGCACACTGTGCCTTTGAATAGCTAGCAAAGTCAAGTCAAATCATTTTATTTCTAAAGCACAAAGTGCTGTACAATAATGTAAAGAAAAAGACCACAAAAAAAAACTAAAACAGCTGACTGAATCAACTCACACTGGGATATCAAAAAGAACAAATGTGTTTTTAAATTAGATTTTAAAAATGAATTAGACAAACCAGTGTATCTTCAGAAAGCAGGTTGTTCCAAAGTTTGTGGGCCACCACTCAAAGAGCTAAAATAAGCTACAAGTAGAGAAATTGTATCTAAAATTTCAAAAAGAACACTAAAATACAACCAGTATTCTGAATCAAATTTCAAAAAGAACAATGTTTTTGAAAGAACTTAAGAAATTTTGATGTATTTATGAGGAATTTTGTTTTAAATATGGTTGAAATTTTTGAAATGTATAAAAGTTATGAAAACCAGAAGTAATAGAATTATTTTCCTAATTTAATGTTTTGATGTCTGAATACTTAAAATAGTAAGACAAATAATCGAAAGCAGAAGTATGTTCAATTGCAATAAACACAAAGAAGAAACTATAAATAGGATGTTTCAGCTTGACAGATGATTATAATCAGCAGGTGGAGGTTTGTGCAAACTGTAAATCTATTGGACCAAGAAGACTTATCCAAACTCAAAAGGAGGAAAATGATTCTTGATCCTTTTCCACTCTCATTCACTTTCTTACTGCAACTCTCCTTATCCTTCCCTGGTCCCTTCCTTTCCCTTGTTTCTCATGCTTCATCCCCTCCTCCTGCTCTCTTCTCTCCCGATGCCAGTTTGTGCTCCAAACTGCAGATCCAGACAGAGATGGACTCTGCCTATCTCCTGGAAACACTTGCAGGCAACTTCATGGATGTGGTCCAGTATAATGAAGACAACAGAGGGTTTGAGGTGAGGAAAAAAAATAAAAGACCCTAAAAATGCAGTAATAAACTTCAAATGGCAAACAGAAACCACACTATGTGGAGTTCCTCAGAGGTTGGTGCTGGGTCCACACTTGTTTGTATTATTATACTTGGCACAAATACAAGGAAATTGATTATTTCTTTGTTGTGACAATTCTTCTTAACAATAAATCTTATACCAGTAGCACCTGAGGGTACCAGAAGCTCAAAAGTGTCAATAGCAACAGAAAAATAACCTGTTTGGCAGAGAAGATTTGGCAGTAGTACACAGCACAGACCTCAGAGTCAAAAGCCTAGAGCTCGTATCAGGAAACCAAAACAAAAGCAGCCCAGTCTGTTCCAGGCTGGATCTAAGCAGAGACTCTCTGCAATACTCAAAATTTCAAAAAATTTCTAAAAAAAATACCTTCTACTCAAAAAATAATGAATCAGCCTTATAACGTACGTCTCTTCCTGGTTACACCCCTGGAGGTGTTTTCTTTTACATCAGACGTTAGCGTAACCAACTTTAGTTTATGCTACTGCAAGAACATATCGATAACATACAGTACACCAACTCTCCTTCTGTTTTAAACATATGGCAGCAATGATTAGAAAGTATGAAACACAACAATGGATCTAACATTCACTTAAACATTTACAAAATTTCCTTCAATAGCAATAAGTATAGCAACGTTGGGAAAACAAGTTACGTTCTCACCCAGAAATCGAACGCTATTTTATACAATTTGATTATCTGAATTGTGTGGAGCCATTGGGGATTTCCTATCATTGAAAGAAATGTAAAGCTGTGTCAAAATTTCTGCATGTTGACCTGTGTGAAAGGAAATACGAAGGTCAAAGAAAAATGAGTTGAGCCAGGTATGTGTGCTTGGTAAATAAAAGGCATCTATGAGATGTAGAAGAGTTACAGACCGCTCAAGCTCTTCACTGAAACATAATAAACCCTGCATTGTCTAACAGAGAGGAGGGCTCATACATTGCCTGGTAAGAGGAACCTCAAAGTTTCTCCTGGGGCCAATTGCTTAGCTTGTTTGGTATTTCTCCATGCAATAACCTGCTTTTACAGAGGATGGCTTGTGGTGCTGATTAAAACAATATTGCGGATCATGTTTTGATCTTGTTAGAAAGTGTTCAAAATTGAATGCCCAAATAATTGCACAGAAAACCCAAGTCCAGTTCCCAGTAAAAATGTTTATCATCAAATCTAAAAATTCCATTTCATCCAATGCCTGTGTGTTGCCCTGAGTCTAATCAGAAGACAAAATGCAATGGCTTCTAACATGCATCTGGTTATGCTTAAGCCTCCATGTCCTTAGCAAACCATATTTATAGGCCACCCTGGTCACACCCCTGGGGCAGGTACCTTTTATGTCAGCACTGTTAAATCTGAAGATTTTGTTTATCCTGTGGAGGGACACACATAATATGTAGACAAGCTAGTGGATGCTACCAGGAAGCAGCACAACCAGGGATCCTCCCTCGCTTGCTGCCCTACTTGTATAGTACCTGAGCTCAACAGTCTTCCTCACAGCTGGTGGGCCCTCATAGAGGTGGCGTCCAGTCTCTCTTTCAGGCTTGGCCAGGCTGAGTCCCAAGTGCTAAAGCTCAAAAATCAGGCGTTTACCAGCAAGCTTCACTTGCTAGCCTTGCTTTAGGGTTGTGCCTCTGTTTCCCTTTTCCATGCTGATGGTAGGATGGCGAAGCTCATCCTTAGTAATGAGGCTTCAGTCGGTTGTGGCAAACGTTCCAACCCTCACACGAGGTATTCATCGTGACGGTAAAAACGAGATCCCGGATCCAAGTGGCTGAAATGAGCTTTCTTCAAAGGGTGGCCAGTTTCAGCCTAAAGTTAGAAGCTCCTTCTTGGTCCTCAAGGATCACTACCCTGCATGTTTTATCTGTTTCCCTGCTCCAACACACCTGATTCAGTGATTGAATAATCTTTTCAAGGTTTGCAGAAGCTTAATAATCATCCATTCATTCAAATCAAGTGTATTGTTGTAGCAGAGAAACAAGCAAAGCATGCAGGACTAGGGCCTTCAAGGACCAAGATTACCCATCTCTGATCTGATCTAAGGGAAGTTCAGAGTAGTTCTGCTCTTTAATTCCTCTGTATGAACAAGAGTCAGCTCTGACATCTGATGAGGTCGTTCTTGGTTGCCTAACTGTGAATGTGTCCCAACTCACTGGAGGGGTTATACTGTATATCCTCTTTGGTCTGGGAATGCTTAGGGATGCCCCAGGAAAAGCTGGAGAGAGGGATAACTGGGTTTCTCTCCTGGACCTATAGTGCCCTCCATGGTCCAACCACAGATAAATGTGAGAACATGAAAATGGAACAGATTATTTATCCTGTATGAATTTGAATTGGAATAAGATTTATTTTTCACAAAAAAATGTTTCATTTTACTTTGACCACTTGGCATGGTTCAGAGCAGTAAAAATGAGAGTTTGGAGAAAACTGGAATCTTTAATAGTGCTCCCTTCTGCCAAGAAGCAAAACAACACACGCTCCAAATTCTAACACATCTCACCATTATGTATGAGTGCAAATAATGCCATTTACAAAGCTAGACCAAAACAGCTACAACTGTTCTCATAAGTTGGTTTTAAATCAAAACTCTAAGCATGAAATTATAATGATATGCATTCCTTAAAGAAAGGGCTTTTATTTAACTGCTACCATTTTATTTCTTTACAAAGAGAGAAAATGGCTTATTTAATTTTCAATACAGGGAGTTGCTTAGCAGAGCCAGGTGCAGCTGGTTGTTTGTTTCAAAACTTATAATATTCATCAAGCTCTGACGTTTGAACCACCTGCCTGTTGCTGCTACTGACAGAAAGACAAAGCCATAACAACACGGTAACTCAGACCAGAGACCTCGCTTCACCTCCTTGAGGATCACTTACCTTCCCAAGCAGACAAAACAATGCATTTACTGTAACATGTCGGGAATGTTAAAAAATAATGTTTTATTTTGTCTCTACTTGCTGAATTATTTAAATCAACATATGTCTGGACGCTAATTCAGTTTTTGCACAAATATTTAAATTTTTTATGAAGTTTACTTGCTATTTTTCCTTTTTGTGGATCAAAGTGTTCAGCTAATTCAGGAGATGCTCTACTGTATCTAAATGTAACAAAATGCAGCTAAAGGAACTAACATAAGACTTAGCTAAAAATGAAAGTGACATTTGGGTAGCTTAAAACCAAAAGTAAAATGGACTAGTTAAAAGATACAGAATGGTTTGGTTTAGTTTAGTTTAGTTTAGTCATTTCATCTCATTTCATCTCATTTTTCATTTAAACAAAAACAAAATACATTCAGAACATAAAACAAAATGAGAGAAAACAAGAAAAAATACATACACATATATATTAAAATGAACTGAATTAAAATAAAATGAAATGAANCAAAATTAGCTTTCTAATCTAGTTACACATTTTTTGTAGCTCTTTCACCTCAATTCTGCTAAATTCAGAAAGCTTGTGCTCCTTATGCTAATTCATAGTTTGTTCATATCATATTATTTTCATTTCATTTTCATTTAAACAAAAACAAAATACATTCAGAACATAAAACAAAATGAGAGAAAACAAGAAAAAATACATACACATATATATTAAAATGAATTGAATTAAAATAAAATGAAATGAAGGGTAGCAGAAGAAGAAAAATCTTATATCTGCCCACATTTCCAAATATAACATTAAATTCAAAACTACTAATCAAATAATGGTTTAAATCAGTTTATTGTCAATAAGTCTTCAATTGACAAAATAATACAAAAAAAGATAAAAATGAAAAAGACAAGCTTACTCTTTTTTGAGCAACAAATAGTATTAATAAACCAGAATATAAATACATTTAACTTTAAAAGGAGTAGGAAGAAGACAAACTTATTTACTCCCACTCCCTATTCAATATATAAATTATGTGGCTGCTACTGACATTTGGAATGTAATATATTTTATAAATGTTTTCTTTTTCTCTTTTTCTGTCTTCCTCTTTCCCTCCCCTTCTCCTCCCTCTCCTCCTCTTCCCAAACACATTCCCCCCCTCTTCCTTCTTCTTTCCCACTATTCCTTCCCTCGTAGCCAAATGTAGCCAAAAGCTAGTTTAAAAAAGCTAGTGGTATATTAAAAAAAAAATGAAGTTAGCAAAAGTAATTCCAATATTTCAAAATGGAGATAGACAGCTTTGATAATTATAGACCAATCTCAGTCCCCCCTCAGTTTTCCAAAGTGCTTGAAAAATGGTTTATTTCAAAATTAGATAGTTACGTATAATTGAAAAAAATAACTTACTGGGTGATAGTCAACATGGGTTTAGATCAAATAAATCAACATCCCTTGCATTATTATGACCCCTGCACGCGAAGCGTAAGCAGGAGTCATATTGTTTTCTTACTGTTTTTTTTTTTCAGTGATTTTTGGTCAACCGTAGCACAAAAACAGCTGCACCGATCAACATGAAATTTGGCAGGACTGTAGATGAGTCTGACCTACACTGCGCCAGCCAACCGTTTTAAGATAGACCCCATATTTGAGGAGGGGGCTCCTTTCAAAGAGGGGTTGTCTGGACATGCGAAAATGCTTATAACTCAGAAACTGTTAAACATAGAAGCTTCAGATGTTGTTTAGCTCTGATGAAGCTCTATCCATCAGGCCCACCGATCAGTGCCCCCAATTTATCTGAAAAAGGGGGGTCTGGACATGCGAAAATGCTTGTAACTCAGAAACTGTTCAACATGGAAGCTTCAGATTTCTTTTGTTGTTTGGCTC